AAAAAAAAAAAAAAAAAAAAAAAAAAAAAAAAAAAAAGGCCGGGTGCAGTGGCTCATGCCTGTAATCCTAGCACTTTGGGAGGCCGAGGTGGGTGGATCACCTGAGGTCAGGAGTTCAAGACCAGCCTGAACATCACGGTGAAACCCCATCTTAAAAAAAAAAAAAAGAAAAAAAAAAAAAAAAATTAGCCGGGCATGGGGGCACATGCCTGTAGTCCCAGCTATTTGGGAGGCTCAGGCAGGAGAATAGCTTGCTCCTGGAAGGTGGAGGTTGGAGTAAGCTGAGTTTGCACCCTTGCAGTCCAGCCTGGGGAACAAGAATGAAACTGCATCTTAAAAACAAAACACAAAACAAAACAAAGAAAACCCACAAAACAAAAAAAAAAAATTTTTTTTTTTTTTTGGAGATAGTCTTGCTCTTTCACCAAGCTGGAGTGCAGTGCCTTGATCTCGTCTCACTGCAACCTGTGCTGCCTGGGTTCAAGCGATTCCCCTGCTTCAGCCTCCCGAGTAGCTGGGACTACGGGGGACTGCCACCACACTTGGCTAATTTTTTGTATTTTAGTAGAGATGGGGTTTTACCATGTTGGATAGGCTGGTCTCGATCTCCTGACCTTGTGATCCACCCACCTTGGCCTCCCAAAGTGCTGGGATTACAGGCATGAGACACTGTGCCCAGCCACAAAACTAATTTTAAAACATCAACAAAAGGCTGGGTGTGGTGGCTCACGTCTGTAATCCCAGCATTTTGGGAGGCCAAGGCGAGTGGATCACCTGAGGTCAGGAGTTTTAGATCATCCTGGCCAACATGGTGAAACCCTGTCTCTACTAAAAATACAAAAAATTACTCAGGTGTGGTGGCGGGAGCCTGTAATCCCAGCTACTTGGGAGGCTGAGGCTGCACTGAACTGAGATTGCACCATTGCACTCCAGCCTGGGAGACTGAGCAAGACTCTGTCAAACAAAACAAAACAGATTAATGATTCAATTTAAAAAAATGGAAATTAACTTATTATCCTCTATTGGGCTTACTTACCAGTATTTTTCATGACTGACGTCAAACTGCTAAGGATGGAACTGATCTTTGCCAGATCCACATTAGCCAGGTTTGGCAAAGCCAGTGCCGGGGAAGGGGAAAGAGAAGTATTCACAGGTTTTGGAAGAGGTGGAGTTGCTGTCATGGTCACAGGCACTGGGGTACATGAAGAGGCCTTGGAGATATTTTCTGTTGGCTTTGTAGGTACAGAAGTGGATACAGCTGACTTCTCTGCAGGTTTTTCCTTCCTGTCCTCCACTGTTTCAACAAAGAAAAGAGATATTACATCCTATTACTTTCCGGACTTTGCTTTCTATATGAAATAACATGTCCTAGTATTCCTGGATTTGGGAGATAGAGCACTACTTTAGAGAAAACAACTCACTTCATGCTTATTTGAAAAAGTCATACTCTTCATAATTTGATAATTCCCACCTTTAACATCTGCTTAAAAGCAATTTCCAGCTGGACACAATGGCTCACGTGCGGTCAAGATTTTGAGACCATCCTGGTCAACATGGTGAAACCCTGTCTCCGCAAAACATACAAAAAATTATCTGGGTGTGATGGTGGGTACTTGTAATCCCAGATACTAGGGAGTCTGAGACATGAGAATTGCTTGAACCTAGGATGCAGATGTTGCAGTGAGCCGAGATTGCACTACTGCACTCCAGCTGGGCAACAAAGCGAGACGCCCATCTCAAAAAAAAAAAAAAAAAAAAAAAAAAAAAAAAGAAGCAATTTCCAGGACTTTGCATTTTCTTAGTATTTGTATATTAAATTTGTAGAATTCAAGAAGCATGTTATTATTTGGTACACATTTGTGTTCTGTCTTTTGGAGATAATATTTGTCATAAATTGTCCTGTTTTTCTCTTTTTGTTGTTGTTTTGTTTTTCTGGTTTTTTTTGAGATGGAGTTTTGCTCTTGTTGCCCAGGCTGGAGTGCAATGGTCCCATCTCGGCTTACTGCAACCTCTGCCTCCCAGGTTCAAAGTGATTCTCCTGCCTCAGTCTGCTGAATAGCTGGGATTACAGGTATGTGCCACCACGCCTGGCTAATTTTGTAATTTTAGTAGAGATGGGGTTTCTCCATGTTTGCCAGGCTGGTTTCGAAGTCCTGACCTCAGGTGATCCGCCTGCCTCAGCCTCCCAAAGTGTTGGGATTACAGGCATGAGCCACTGCGCCCAGCCTGTCCTGTTTTTTTTTTTTTTTCTTTCCAGTAACCTGAGAACTTTCTTAGAGACAGAACCTCTATAGTGTTTATTGTATTTTCCTCTGGCTTCCTGAAATTGCCCTACTGTGGGGTGCAATAGGCACTAATTTGAAACTGCAATGTTTTAACTCTTGATCACATTGAATAATTCTTTTTAATGTTTTAAAGGCTATATCAATAATGCATTAAATTTAATAGGGGTCAAACTAATAAGATTTATAAAGGCTGGGAATATAAGAGAAACAATTCACCAATTCAGGTTATTTCTGAAAGTGTGATTAACAAACTGACTCTGGAATTCTTGATGGTCAAAGGTGACAGAGAATAAGGAATTCCAGTATAAGTGACCCCTCATCCCAGAGCAGTGCTATTCAACATGAATATAATTTAAGCCACAAATTTTCTAGCAGCCAAATTAAAAAAAAAAATGAAAGAAACAGGGCCAGGCATGGTGGCTCAAGCCTGTTAACAGCAGCACTTTGAGAAGCCAAGGCAGGTGGATCACTTGAGGTCAGGAGTTCAAGATTAGCCTGGCCAAAATGGTGAAACTCCGTCTCTACTAAAAATACAAAAAATAGCCAGATATGGTGGTACACGCCTATAATCCTAGCTACTTGGGAGGCTAAGGCAAGAGAATCGTTTGAACCCGGGAGGTGGAGGTTGAAGTGGGCTGAGATAGCACCACTGCGTTCCAGCCTGAGTGACTACAGAGACTCTCTCGCTCTCAAAAACAAACAAACAAACAAAAACACAAAAATAAAAGAAACAGATACATGTAATTTTAAAAATGAATTTTATTCATCCGAACACACCCCACATATTTTCATTTCAGGGTTATAAATATAAAAATTATTAATGAGAGGCCGGGCGTGGTGGCTCACGCCTGTAATCCAAGCACTTTGGAGGCCAAGGTGGATGGATCACCTGAGGTTGGGAGTTCAAGACCAGCCTGACCAACATGGTGAAACCTCGTCTTTAAAAAAAAAAAAAAGAAGGCCGGGCGCGGTGGCTCAAGCCTGTAATCCCAGCACTTTGGGAGGCCGAGGCGGGTGGATCACGAGGTCAAGAGATCGAGACCATCCTGGTCAACATGGTGAAACCCCGTCTCTACTAAAAATACAAAAAATTAGCTGGGCATGGTGGCGCGTGCCTGTAATCCCAGCTACTCAGGAGGCTGAGGCAGGAGAATTGCCTGAACCCAGGGGGTGGAGGTTGCGGTGAGCCGAGATCGCGCCATTGCACTCCAGCCTGGGTAACAAGAGCGAAACTCCGTCCCAAAAAAAAGAAAGAAATTATTAATGAGATATTTTAACTCTTTGAGAGAGTACTAGTTTCTGCCACCATGCTTGGCCTAGTTTCTGGACTCCAATGTGTGCGGTGATTTTTTTGTTTTTTTCTGTTGACAGGGTCTCCCTCTGCCACCTAGGCTGGAGTACAGTGCTGTAACCTCTGCCTCCCAGGGTCAAGCGATTCTTCTGCCTCAGCCTTTCCAGTAGCTGGGACTACAGATGCATGCCACCACGCTTGGCTAATTTTTATATTTTTTATAGAGATGGGGTTTCACTATGATGCCCAGGCTGGTCTCAAACTCCTGGACTCGAGGAATCTGCCTGCCTCAGCCTCCCAAAGTGCTGAGATTACAGGCATGAGTCACTGCACCAAGCCTAAATGTGTATTTTATACATATAGCACATCTCAAGGTGGACAGGCCTCATTTCAAATGCTTAGTCACAGGTAGCTACCTTCCATCCACTGCCCCCCAAGATGGAGTCTCGCTTTGTCACCCAGGCTGGAGTGCAGTAGCATGATCTCAGCGCACTGCAGCCTTTGCCAGGTTCAAGCCATTCTCTTGCCTCAGCCTCCCGTGTAGCTGTAATTCCAGGTGCCTGCCACCACATCCAGGTAATTTTTGTATTTTTAGTGGAGACAGGGTTACACTATGTTGGCTAGAGTGGACTTGAACTCCCACCTCAGCTTCCCAAAGTGAGCCACTACCCTCAGCCTAGTAGCTACCATTTTAACAGTGCGGATACTAAGCAATGATTCTTTTTTTTTTTTTTGAGACGGAGTTTCGCTCTTGTTACCCAGGCTGGAGTGCAATGGCGCGATCTCGGCTCACCGCAACCTCCGCCTCCTGGGTTCAGGCAATTCTCCTGCCTCAGCCTCCTGAGTAGCTGGGATTACAGGCACGCGCCACCATGCCCAGCTAATTTTTTGTATTTTTAGTAGAGACAGGGTTTCACCATGTTGACCAGGATGGTCTCGATCTCTTGACCTCGTAATCCACCCGCCTCGGCCTCCCAAAGTGCTGGGATTACAGGCTTGAGCCACTGCGCCCGGCTAAGCAATGATTCTTAACACATTTGGCATATCATATCCTCAACAACTGTTCTAGAGATTATAATGCTAACTTGGTGCTCTATCTTTTAAGAAATGAACTATTTTTTTTTTTTTGAGATGGAGTCTCGCTCTGTCACCCAGGCTGGAGTGCAGTGGTGCGACCTGAACTCACTGCAAACTCTGCCTCCTGGGTACAAGTGATTCTCCTGCCTCAGCCTCCCAAGTAGCTGGGACTAAAGGTGCTTGCCACCACGCCCGGCTAATTTTTTGTATTTTTAGTAGAGATGGGGTTTCACTGTGTTAGCCAGTATGGTCTTGATCTCCTGATCTTGTGATCCGCCTGCCTCAGCCTCCCGAAGTGCTGGGATTACAGGCATGAGTCACTACTCCCAATCTGAGCTATCTTTTAATACCTGCCTGTGATATATTCATTGTTGGAAAGGCAAAATAGATAAGGAATAAGTTGTCTATTAATCATATAAGGACATACCAATGATTTTTGACCCATCATCTTCCACATCTGAGAGTTCCATGTCTTCCACATCACGATTATCTGTCACAGGTTCAGGTGTGGCAGATTTCTCACTCTCCACGGTTGGTGACTGTGATTCCTCACCTCCCATTCCCTGAAAAGGAGACTCAGAACCAGTCGGGGAGGGAGCATCCATGCTTGGGGAAGGAACTGGTGATTCTTCGGGATCTGGAAGGGTTGACTTCAATTGATCCAACTTCTTCTTTAAATTGTTTACTCGGTTAGCAAAGGTTTTATATGCCTAAAAGAGAAAAAAGGAGTTTACTCCTTGGAAAAAGACCAAAAAGTTAACATATTTTTCTTTTTGAGGCATAGTCTCACTTTGTCACCCAAGCTAGAGTGTAGTGGCGCGATCTCAGTTCACTGCAACCTCTGCCTCCTAGGATGAAGTGATCCTCCTAACTTAGCCATCCAAGTAGGTAGGTCCAAAGGAACATCACGCCCGGCTAATCTTTGTATTAGTAGAGATGGGGTTTCAGCATGTTGGCCAGGCTGGTCTCAAACTTCTGGCCTCAAGTAATCCACCCTCCTCAGCCTCCCAAAGTGCTGGGATTACAGGCTTGAGCCACTGTGCCCAGCCACCAATTTTAAAAAATAAAGTTTTATTTTCTTAAATGAGAGATGAGGTCCTGCTATGTTATCCAGGCTAGTCTTGAACTCCTGGGCTCAAGTGATCCTCCCACCTCAGCCTCCCAAAGAGC